GATTTGTTAGAAGAAGATTGAAGACTGCCTTACGACACTTGTTACTCTTAAAAACTGTTGTTTGGGGAAAGAACCATGTTCGCACATTTTTAAATATTATTATTATCAGTGTTGTTGTAAATGTCTTAGTGTTTAATAAAAGAATAAAATTATAAATAAAATGGGTTTACACCCTTAACTACTTATTGTTCTGAATTCCTAGACATGTATGTAAAGTGCCAAACCTGAGGGGTGTCGAGTGAACGGAGCGTGGTAAGTGTAGGGGTAAGAGGGCAACCAGGAGCACCCGCTTCTCTGATGTAAACACGCGAGAGCCTCGTCTTGAGTAACCTAGAGGTTGTTGTATACTCCAGATGTTCGAGTAACCGTTCCCACCCACCAGGTGTTGAACTTCAATATCTCAGAAGAGGTGACATCTTGTGACTGATAAGGTGGGCTGTTAGGCAACATCAATTATGAAAGCTGAGGCGGAGAGAGGAATAGATACACACACCTCCTTCTTTACTGCGAAAAAAACTAACAACATATATGTGGAAATGCCTGCCCGCCAACCCTATTTTTTAAACTAGCGCAAATAAACAGAATGTGTGTGTGCTCGTTCCTTATTATTCTACTCTAATACAAATAGAGTAGGGGGGGGAGGTATTGTGGACAAAATACTCCAACCTCCCACTCATCTACCTCACTCACAGCACAGCCATCAAAGAGGGTAGGCCGCTCAAACACAACCCTTCTACGACGCTCTATTACCTGCTCCCCCACCCATGTTGTATGTGGTATGGCTCATGCGCTATGCAGCATGTGACATGTGCCATGTGGTAGGTATGTGGGACTCCATAGTGGGTCAAGGCTGAAGGGGAAGGGGAGGGGGAGGGGGGCTTTGTTTACAAATATTATTGTGGTTACCTCTCTCTCAGAGCTCAGTACCCACCGAGACATCCCGCAGTGAACACTCGAGAATGACATGAAACTAATGACTCTTCTTACAGCCTGTGGTGAAGGCCTAGGAGGCAGAGGCAGAGAATGGTGGGCGGGGATGGTGAGAAAGTTAAACGTTTTGGTAATATACACACTTCACTGTTTCATCTTAACTTTCCTACATACCACAGACATAGTGTTTAAAACACAAAATTGAGAATGAGAGTGTGAGGCCCACTACCAGTGCCAGCCAAAGGCCTCCATGGGTGGCCCCCTTCACTTCCCCTCCCCCTCACCTGCTTCACACACCCTTCCTTAACTGTACACCTAAAAATACTCGGTCTCCTAGATCTATATCCCTATGGGGGGCCACCCGCTCCTTCCTCAACATAGCCTTCTCGATCCTACATACCTCATTAACAATATATATATCCACATATCACGCATAACTCTATGTTATATACTCATTCACATTCATCTTACAATTACTACTCCTGCTCACCTGTTCCTATACTTACACTTTTACCCCAACGACTCATAACCCCCCATGAGACAACGACCTGGTGTGCCGAGCCGCCCACCGCGACCCACAAACACCCCGCAGGACAAGGCATGCGTGCCCCCTGGGACAAGTGACTATGACCATGTGCAACACTTGAGCAGGGGCCTAATTGGCTCACCTGGACAGGTGTTGCTCACAGTCATAGTCTCTATTTACCCTACTGACCATACGCTGAAAGAGTTTGCAGACACAACTCGTGAGAGCAATGGGTCAGAAGTCTTTAGGGGATGACACAAGAAAACCAGGTTTCCAAATAGGAGGAACAACCGCCTCAAGCCCAGTCCTCAGGGACTGACAACGACTCCCTGACACGGTTATAAACATTCGGTAAATACTGAAATGTACACGGAGGGAGATAGCGAAGCATCTCATAATGAATATCAACTGATCCCGCCCTCGTAGAACTGCAGAAGGCCAGGTCAGACCTCATCAGATCAAACCTCATCAGTTCTGTGAGAGAGAGAGACAGAAAGGATCGTTATAGGGGAAGCTGAAGATGAGTGCGAAAATCTAAGAGACAAGATTCAAGAAAGGGCAAAGATATTGCTGCTACATGGAGCTTTGGGTGGGTGTTTGTCTATTAGGGTTTGTTCTGTATCGGCGACTGATAGCAATGGTGTCTTAACTAGTGATACTTTTATTGCATGTTATGAATCCCATATAGCCTCAGAATGTAAGCCCTGCCTCAAAGTGAGACTTATTCCTCACTTAGTTCTTCAGAGGATTCAGAGGAATGAGTTAATATAAGTAACCTTCGTTGGATATTACTGATGGAGAAATAAGTCGCTACTTTATGGAAATAAGATAAGATGTCGACAATCTGTGACGTGCCGTGTGCTAAGATGACGCCATTACTGGAATTGTGACATGTGTAGATGACTTGCTATGCCACTTGCTAGTGTGGAGGTCAGAGGGATAGCACGTATTTCGTCGCTCCAGAGAAAAGAGGATATTGTGATGTTTTGGAGAGGAATCTACAGGAATCTTCAAAAGAAACAAGTGTTTTGAGCAGTGGGAGGACGAGTTGTATCGTGTCTCGCGAATAGTGGCATTGAGAAAGGCGATCTGAAGCCTGTTGGGTGGTCGTTCACTAATGATCCTCTGTGGTAGGCCCAAGAAAAGGCCTATGTATTCAGGGAGAGGATCTGTTGACAGGTAAACTGAGTTAGTACCTGTGCTTTGACCCCCACACTCAGATCAAGACAGAGAAGTCGACAGTGCCAGTCGAAGAAAGATTTGTGGGCGACCTGGAAGAGCACCATTTTCATGTTGGGCAACAATCGTTATCACTCCTGCAATTTTGCAGTGAGCCTTTAAATTACTGTAGTTTGCCGAATGCAGAGAGGATAAATTTCCAGTGATCTTATATTGAGGTTTAGAAGTGAAAATTAGTCATGCATGCAGTGACAATGAGATTATATATGTTAAGATGAAATAACATGATGAAAGCGCGAGCGACACATCCCCGCACAACGGTGGTCGGTGGTTGACTGAGGAGGGGAGGGAGGTTCACCTGCGAAACGGTCGGCCACACAGTAATCAGCCGGTCCCACAGTATGGACCAGCTGATGACTTTGGGGGTTGAAGGAGTATTATTTTAAAATTTAGATTTGTTTATGGGAAATGATTATTTTGTTATGTTATGGTAAACTTGCAGGTTCATGTATAGAGAACGCAGGGAACTAGAAGGAGGACACCAGAGTTAAGAAGAGAGAGGGTATGTCACCGTTGCTCAGTTGGGTGTGAACACGTGATAACAGGTAATTTCTGAGACAAGTCCCCATCATAGTGAAGCTAAACCCCTTCTCCATGATTTGGCTCGTTGCCGGGTGAAGATCCGACTAAGTGTAGTGTTAGAAGTTAGCTCTACTAGAAGCACTAGTAGAGCACAAGAGTGTGTGTGCTCTACTAGTGCTCTAGGTGTTGGGTGGGTGGTGTATGTATTCGCTGTATGTATCAGTGGCTCCATGATAAGTTGGGTGCCCTGATATGCACCTACAGTGTTTATCTCTTCTATTTTATTACTTACTGTTGTTCTAACTTTGAATGTTTCCGAAACACCGAGGTTACCTTCCCATCGGTAGGTGTTATTGCACGAATGGGAAGGCTTACCTGGTTGTTATATCCTGGGAAATTATTTATGGCTTTAATGACTGAAGAAGACAGTGTTCTGTCTCTCCTCTTGTCTCTGACATGTGCTGCCAAACAAGAAGAGATCTTGGGTGCTTCAGTTGTTCCCGAGGAGTCGTTATGGTGATTGCGACGGGCTGCTTTTGGAATGTGTTGTAAGTTTCCAACCGACGTCGTTTTGATAGATTCTAGTAGGATATTTATCGACAAGTAAGCTGTGGAAAGTGTTTGGCTTGATGGGTGGTTTTAGGTGTTGACTGGTGTTCTCATTGAAAGAACGCAGGGAACCAAAACAACGGATTCGGTTGTGGAGAAGCACTCTGTGCGCCATTAAAGAAAGATGGGGAAATCATTCTCATTGCCGTTGGCAAATCCGTCCAACGCCTCGTGGCTAAGGATTCAGCAAAATCAGTCAGCCAGGGAGCGGCAAACATGTTGAAAATTAATCTGCACGGGTTTGGGATCTTCTTCAGCTGTGAAGCTGCAGCACACGCAGCACGTGCATACATTGCTACTCTCTAACACCAGATGGCACGAGTTCCGCTGGACTTTAAAAATGTCTTCAATCAAGTGAGAAGAGATGCAGTCCTCAGGGTTGTACACAACCATTTCCTTCCCCTGTACCCATTCATCCAATTGTGCTACAGTGGGGACTCTAAGCTTCTTTTTTGGCAACATGAAGTAGACTCCTGTGAAGGAGTCCAACAGGGTGATCCCTTAGTCCCTTTTCTTTTCTGCTTAGCTATCAAAGAGGTCACTGATAGTCTGACAAGCGAGCTAAACATCTGGTACCTGTATGATGGTACTCTCACCTCTCCCCTCATCTCCCTCTATGATGGAACTCTCACCGGAACCCCGGATACCATTTTGGAGGATATAAGGAAAATCCAGGAGCAAGGAGCAACCTTGGGCCTGATTCTCAATACATCGAGCGTTGAAAGCCCAACCCAGACATCACTGACCAAATAAAAACTGTACTCCTATTCTTTATATAGATTACATTACGTGTAATTTTTGTTACACGCGTAATTTACTAGCTCTCACAACCATACAATAACCACATGAGTATCTAACTACCACTCATTCATACAGCAGTCATACGAGTAACGTAATGCTACTCATGATCCTATAATAATCCCACAATGCTTTTCATGATCAAATAATAATCACTTGCTTAAATATCCCTCATGATCATATAATAATCACTTGCTTAACTTACAATCACTCACGATTAAGAGATAGATACACAAGTAACTCACTGCCTCACATTAGTAGGCAAAAAGATTCAACCTGCATACTGACTCACAGGATCAAACTGTCAGGACTGTTTCATTCCTCTACGACAAAGCTAAATGTGAACAGAAAACAAACTCTAGAGGCAAACACTTACTTGAAGAAGGAATATTTCTTGAACTTCTCTCGATAGCTTCCCTGACGAGTCTCGAACTTGACACACTTTCTTCTGATGCCGTTGACCTCACTGGCCTTGAGAGGAGCGACGTGCTGGCGGACCAGGTCACACTGCTTCTTCAACGACTCCCACTGCTCGGGCAACTCCTTCGTGAGACAAAAGTTTAGGTCTAAATTACGAACAAAATGGGAGTCAATGTATAGTCTTGTGGATTTGATTGCGTAATCTGGAGCAGTGTTTGTTGTGTTATTTACTGTGTGCAGCACTTAGTAATAGAATTACTATTTTATTTAGACAAATAAAAAGTTATAAATGAATGTAGCAATTTATCAAAATATTTGTATTTCACTTAGGAACTGCATATGAAGTATTTAATTACAGTTTCCTGTGACTGTTTTCTCCGAACACATGGATGGGGTCATTTTGCCTAGCACTTGCAAGTGGGTTGCATGCGGTTACTACAGAAGTATAAACTATTGTTACTACAGAAGTATAGACTATGGTTACTACAGAAGTATAGACTATTTTTACTATAAAAGTATAGACTATGGTTACTACAAAACTATAGACTATGGTTTCTATAAAAGTACAAACTATGGTTACTACAGAAATAAAGACTATTGTTACTACAAAAGTATAGACTATGGTTACTACAAAAATATAGATTATGGTTACTACAAAAGTATAGACTATGGTTACTAAAAATGTATAAACTATGGTTACTACACAAGTATAGACTATGTTAAACGTAGGGCCTCTTTAAACACAGATATATATGAGGGTTCCTTGTCCACTCCTTCAATTGACTCAGCTCAGGTCAGGATAGGTTAAGATAGGTTAGGTTAGAGTATGTTTAACGTAAGGTTTCCTTAGACATTTATATAGATGAGGGTTCCCTGTATATCCACTGCTTTAGGGGACTCAGCTGGCGCGCCCTCAACGGGTCATAGCGTCATTGGAAGATTCGCATGTAAAGGCTTCCCTGATTAGGTTGTCCTTAATGGATTTCCCTTTTTTCATGCTAGCATAGGTGGTCTTTGCAGCAAAGTCGGCCAGACCGGGTGGTCTTTATAGCTTTCTTGGAGCCCTTCATATATTTCTCTCATATTCCGTTGCAGGTGCTTTGCGAATCCTATGAAGTATAGTGTGGGGTAATGTCCATCGGTCCAACTGCTCCCTTATCCTGGTCACTTGGAGTAGGAATTCTCTATTGAGTCCCCGTATATTTATTGCTGTTTCCTGAAAGATGGCGTCCGGGGAGCCACAACCCTTGAAGAATCCCCCATAGGTTTTGTAGTTCCGGTTGGGGAATCTTGATCCTTGATCGTGATTCTTTTAAGGCGTAGTCCCAGTGCGTAGGGATCTCTTTAATTAATAATAGTGGATGTCTCGATGTGTAGAGAAGATATGAGTGGAGGTTTGTATTATGCCTTCGTTTGGAGCGTCTTATCTCCATCATCGATATATATCCTTGTGTCTAGGAATGATGTAGTTGTTTCCTTCTTCTCTTGGGTGAATTTGAGGATGTTGTGCATTGTGTTGGCTCACGTAAAGAAGTCTTGGAGTTGTTGTGTGCCTCTCAGCATTAACCGAAGAGGTCATCGATGTATCTCATTTCGCCACTAATTCTGTGTTTGTTTCTGTCGAAGAAATCCGTGACTCATGTTGCTGCGTCCCTTTGCTGTCTGAGGTACAGTGATACCACGTCGAGGGAGAACACAAATGCTCCTATCTTGAGGTTATCTTGAGATGATTTCGCGGCTTTAGTGTCCCCGCGGCCCGGGCCTCGACCAGGCCTCCACCCCCAGGAAGCAGCCCGTGACAGCTGACTAACACCCAGGTAACTATTTTACTGCTAGGTAACAGGGGCATAGGGTGAAATAAACTCTGCCCATTGTTTCTCGCCGGCGCCCGGGATCGAACCCGGGACCACAGGATCACAAGTGCAGTGTGCTGTCCGCTCGGCCGACCGGCTCCCTAGCCGGTTGCATTCCTCCTGGTGGAATTGGGTCCCTAAATGCTGCTTTTAGGGACTCATGTCGTGCAGGTCCAGTCGACTGGCCTTGTTGGGACTGACGACCACTAAGGACTGGTCTGCCTTGAAAGCTGAACCCGGGAAGACATCCTTGTGACTCTTCGGTAGGATGAACATCGACAGGATCTTGGATATGAAGGCGAGGAACGCGTCCCTCGTTGCAGCTCTGAAAAATCCTCTACTTCCTCTCGAGGCTAGGTCCTTGTTCCTAAAAGTTTTAGTACCAGCTTCTTGCTTCTGGTTTGTGCATTCCTGAGGGCGTCTTGTGGGTCCACGATGGGCTTGTAGGTAAGTGCGTCGTCTAGATGTCTCAGCATCTCCCGTTGGTAGTTATCAGCTCTCAGTACGACGACGGCTCCTCATTTATCCGCTGGGTTAATCACAATATCCGTTCTGTTTTTCATATACGTCAGCGCTCGCCGTTCTTCTCGCGTTACATTGTATCTCCTGCTCGTTGCTCTGTTATTAAGGTGTAGGCAGAGAGTTCCCCAACACTCAGGTGTAGGCAGAGAGTTCCCCAACACTCAGGTGTAGGCAGAGAGTTCCCCAACACTCAGGTGTAGGCAGAGAGTTCCCCAACACTCAGGTGTAGGCAGAGAGTTTCCCAACACTCAGGTGTAGGCAGAGAGTTCCCCAACACTCAGGTGTAGGCAGAGAGTTCCCCAACACACAGGTGTAGGCAGAGAGTTCCCCAACACTCAGGTGTAGGCAGAGAGTTCCCCAACACTCAGGTGTAGGCAGAGAGTTCCCCAACACTCAGGTGTAGGCAGAGAGTTCCCCAACACTCAGGTGTAGGCAGAGAGGTCCCCAACACTCAGGTGTAGGCAGAGAGTTCCCCAACACTCAGGTGTAGGCAGAGAGTTCCCCAACACTCAGGTGTACGAAGAGAGTTCCCCAACACTCAGGTGTACGAAGAGAGTTCCCCAACACTCAAATCTAAGTAGTAAGTTCGCTCCCTACTCAGGTGTAAGCAAAGTTCCCTCCATGCTCTTGTGTAGGCATTGAGTTCCACAACCGAGTGGGAAACCAATTGTTTACACCAGAGTATGGAGAGAACGCACTGCTTACAATTGGGGTATGTTTGGAACTCACTGCTTACACACGAGTATTGTGGGAAATTTACTGCTGTCACCTGAGTATGGAGAGAACTCAGTGCTTACACCAGAGTATGGAGAGAACTAACTGCTTACACCTGAGTATAGAGGGAACTCACTGCTTACATCTTTATGTGGTGGGAACTCACTGTTTACACATGAGTATGGAGGGAACTCACTGCTTACTCCTGAGTATGGAGGGAGCTCACTGCTTACACCTGAGTATGGAGGGAACTCACTGTTTACACCTGAGTATGGAGGGAACTCACTGCTTACTCCTGAGTATGGAGGGAACTCACTGCTTACACCTGAGTATGGAGGGAACTCACTGTTTACACCTGAGTATGGAGGGAACTCACTGCTTACTCTTGAGTATAGCGGGGAACTTACTTCCTGCTCCTGAATATGGACAAGTAATTCTTAAATAAATAGTTTTTGAGTACAAGTTGGTGCCTTTAAAACTTCACGTAATTCTTGAGGAACTTTTGGGTGGGAGCTTGAGGTTATTTTGAGATATTTTCGGGGCTTAGCGTCTCCGCGGCCCGGTCCTCGACCAGGCCTCCTTTTTGTTACACACCCCAGGTTAGACAGGCCATAGGAGCTGTCTAACTCCCAGATACCTGTTTACTGCTAGATAACAGGGGCATAAGGGTGAAAGAAACATTTTCTCCATTTGTCTCCGCCTCCACCGGGGATTGAAACCGGAACCTCAAGACTACGAATCCGAAGCGCTGTCCACTCAGCTGTCAGGCGCCCTGTCAGGCCCATCATGGTACAGTTGGCAGTGCGAGTTATGGGTAGTCCATATGTGTGAGTTCATTGTCCTGATATTTTCCTTTAAAGCAAGCATATAGCCAAGTCTGTCAACACTAGTTATAATAATTGATCAAGATATGAGTTGGTAACCGGGAGGAACATGTGTTGCAGGCAAGACAGTGGCGTCCTTTGGTGAGCTGTGTAACAGTACGTCTCCTACACGTATGGTAGTGAACCATCATTTAAAAAGCTGTCTTTTTCAAGGATTTTATGGAATAATGGAGTTGGTATCAATTAGGTGATGCCTTATATTGGTGGGTAAGCAACAGATGTCTAAGACATTCTCAAGTAGGTTGTTAGATAGGATGATTGCCACTGAACTTATTAGTTATCAGAATAATTTGCAACCGTTTACGTGTCATGTGTTTGAGAGAAAGTTACCTGGAGCTTGAGGTGCATTGTTTCTGGGAGGTCGTCACCATATTGCTTCACCAAGGCAATCGTAGCCTTGAGTGGCTCGAACATGGCGTCCGTAGCGTGGATCCTGTCACGCACGGCCACCAGGTGTCCCATGATGGAGACGAGCGTGTCATAGTCGCCACTAGTCAGGTCCTGTGCCACCCCCACCTCCGTCTCCTTGATGAACTTGTCCAGTTCCGTCAGGCTGCTCCCCACACACACACACACACACGTCAGTCACAAGGTAGCGAGTGATGAGTAAATCAGTGGGGACTGACTGAATGAAGAGTAAGTCAGTTTGAAGTGAGATAAATCGATGAATGGTGAATGAGTGAGTTTGTGGTGAGTGAGGAAAAGAGAAGTGAGTGGATGAGTGAAGCATGGGTGCATGAGGTGTGCATGGGTGAGTGGATGAGTGACTGAGATGGTGGTTAGTGAATAATACGAGAGTGAAAGTGTGAGGGTATGATGAGTGAGTGGGTGAGAAGCTAATAACTAGGTGCATGGGAGAGAAGCTAATGAGTGGGTGAGTGACTGAGACGAGAGGGGTGAAGTGAATGAGTACTAGCTGCAGATTGGAAGAGTGAGTGAGAAATGAGTGAGTGGGTGTGTGAGTGGTATATGAGTAGGTGAAGGAATACGTGAATTAGTAAATGGGTGATTGAGTGAATAGGTATGTAGTAAATGAAATATGAGTGAGAAATGACAAACCGAGGAGTGAGTGGATGAATGAGACATAAGCGAGGAGGTGAACTAATCAATGAATAAGGAGTGAGTGAGTAAGAAGTTAGTGAGTGAAGAGAAAATGGGTGAGTAATAAGTGGGCAAGTGAATAGTGATTGAATTCAAATGTTAGTGATGTGTGAGTAAGGAGTAAACAAATGAGTAGTCAGTAACTATGGAGTGACTGAGTGAGGAGAGAGTTAAGAGCGAGTGGATGAGTGATGGAGAAATAAATAAGTAATGAAAAGAGTGAGAGAGGATAAGTAGGGAAGATTAAGACTACGACCGTACGCGAGCACCTGGGCAGGTGAGCCACCTGTGGCACACCTATCCAGGTGACGGGGTGATCCTTCTCATCGCGGTGAGTGGTGCCCCTTGCGTGCGGTATAGTCCTAGTCTGTTTAATGGGGTGTGTCGTTAGAATAGGGTGAGCACGTGAACATGTGTAACAGGTATGTAGCAGGTGTGCAGGTGTATGTTTTTCCGTTCGCTTGGTGTAGTGGTAGAGACGGCAAGAAGAGTGTTGAAAGTGTATGTTTTGCAAGCATAGAGTTGTATAGGTGTGTGTGTGTGTTTACTAGTTGTGTTTTTACGGGGGTTGAGCTTTGCTCTTTCGGCCCGCCTCTCAACTGTCAATCAACTGTTTACTAACTACTTTTTTTTTTTTTTTTTTTTTTCACACCACACACACACACACACACACACACCCCCCAGGAAGCAGCCCGTGACAGCTGACTAACTCCCAGGTACCTATTTACTGCTAGGTAACAGGGGCATTCAGGGTGAAAGAAACTTTGCCCATTTGTTTCTGCCTCGTGCGGGAATCGAACCCGCGCCACAGAATTACGAATCCTGCGCGCTATCCACCAGGCTACGAGGCCCCCACAAGTGTGTGTGTGTGTGTGTGCTTAGAGAGAGTTAAAGCATAGGCCTATGCTTGGATGATTGGGTTGAGAACAAGAAGGGTACCTTAGCGAGAGGTGCTGGACTCACTCTTTGACCTTTCTCGCTCTGAGTGGGGCGGCAGCAGTGGTAGGGCTTCTCACTCGCATGGTGACGTCACCTGGCATCAGCAGACCTTGGAGACCGGGTGTAGCATGTGGTAGGTTAGACTAGGGTTGTCGGGAAGGGGGTTATAGGGGATGGGGTGGGTGTGTGTCTCTCTCTCTCATTTTCAGTAAGAGAGGATGTAGGTGAGTGTTCATATGAGTGTAAGATGGATTGAATAATATAGTGAGGTGATGAAGGTATACTTACAGATGATTTTTAGAGTTAAGCCATCTGCAGGTCATCTGGATTCCCTCACCAAATCTTTTCAGTGCCTGAGAGAGTGAGATGTATGGGTGCGGGGATATGGAACATCCTAAAACACTTATCACTATGCTTAAGGGGGTTATAAGAATTTGTTGTGATGCACTGAGAACCACAGAGGCTGTCCACAAACCCTCACGCAGCCTCGGTGAGTTAAAAAAAACGCACACTAACCAAAGGACTTCTGTTGAGGTCTCCCTCTGTCAAGACTCCACCTGATCAAACACAGATGCCAGCCCATTTCACCCACACATAGAATGATGGGGGTGCGAACCTTAGTGTGTGGGAGTGAAATATATATAAAGATAGATACAAAGATTAAGTATTAAGGTGTGTGGAGCTCCCCTCCAGCCAATCATTACGACTACACCCATCAGAGGATGGGAGACTAATGCCCAGTTTGGGGCACTGCCCTTACTCCTGCCCCCACCACACATCCGGTGGCACCCCCCCCCCCCACCCTCCAGCAGCTGTCCCTCATCAATTACCTGACAATTCTTTAAGCCAACTTCTTGTCATAGCTTCATTAGACAGCCTGCATTTCTCCTCAAACACACCAATAGTGAGGAAAAGTAAACACATTTAGTACCCCCAGCCGCTCCTCCTCCCGCACCATCAGTGAGGGAATAATGAGCGAGGGAAGTGTGTACCTAGGTCATAGCGAGAGATCCAACCACTTCAACATCCGCTGGGGTGAGGTGCCATCTCGTTGGACACACTCAGTCAATATGACAGGTGTGTGTGATAGGATGTCTTTTTTTTTTTAAACCACTTTTTAGTTTAAAGTTCTTACATATTCAAATAAAAATAATATTATCATCAAGTATCTATATGAAGACTCAGCCAGTCAGTCAAATGATCAGTAAGACTGGACTGAACGTGTATGTGTAGATTTTTTTAGTTTAAAGTTCTTTCATCATCAAATAAAAATATTATCATCATGCATCTATATGGAGACTCAGTCAGTAAGTCAGTCAAGCGATTTTCAAGAATGGACTGAACGTGTATGTAGATTCTTTTTAGTTTAAGGTTCTTATATCTTCTCCCTCCAAAAAAATATCATCATCAAGCATCTATATAGAGACTCAGTTAGTTATGCGGTCAGTAAGACAGGATTGAACGTGTGTGTAGATTTTATTTGTAAGTTCATTCACATTCAAATAAAATAATATTTTGATCGTTCATCTATCTATAAGAGGACTCAGTCAGACAGTCAAGTGATCAGCAGGACGGGACTGAACGTGTGTGTAGAATTTTGTTTAGTTGAAAGTTTTCCACCTCCTTTAAAAAAACAATTATATTATCATCAACAACATATATGGAGACTCAATCAGCCAGTCAAGCAATCACTAAGACTAGACAGAAAGTTTCTGTAGATTTGTTTAGTTTAAAGTTATTACATCTTCAAATAAAATACATCTTCGAATAAATAATATTATTATTATGAAACTACATGGAGACTCAGTCAAGCAATCAGTAGGACTGAACTGAACGTGTGTGTGATATATATATATATATATATATATATATATATTAGTATATTTTGGTAGCAGTCTTTCCTGTAGACATATATTATTAAATATGACCGAAAAAGTAAGATTAATAATTCTAACACGAATTTTCTCAATCTTTCGTACATTACGCTTCACTGTTGGAGGTAAATCAAAAATCAATTCTCCAAAATTCATTATTTCTAGTCTGACGCGACACGAGCGCGTTTCGTAAAACTTATTACATTTTCAAAGACTTTAGTTCACAAATACACAACTGAATAGAACTTACGCATCTCCGATTTTATATCTACATTTGAGTGAGGTGGAAGGGGTGATGTGGCATTAACACAAGACAGAACAAAATGTGGTATTAATAGGGTATTAATTTCATCAACACAAGACAGAACAAGAGTATTAATAGGGTATTAATTTCATCAACACAAGACAGAACACGAAACAATGGATATTGAATAGAAGTGTTTGTAGAAAGCCTATTGGTCCATATTTCTTGATGCTTCTATATTGGAGCGGAGTCTTGAGGTGGGTAGAATATAGTCGTGCAATAATTGGCTGTTGATTGCTGGTGTTGACTTCTTGATGTGCAGTGCCTCACAAACGTCAAGCCGCCTGCTATCGCTGTATCTATCGATGATTTCTGTGTTGTTTACTAGGATTTCTCTGGCGATGGTTTTGGAGAATTGATTTTTGATTTACCTCCAACAGAGAAGCGTAATGTACGAAAGATTGAGAAAATTCGTGTTAGAATTGTTAATCTTACTTTTTCGGTCATATTTAATAATATATATATATATATATATATATATATATATATATATATATATATATATATATATATATATATATATATATATGTATGTATATATATATATATATATATATATATATATATATATATATATATATATATATATATATATATATATATATATATATATATATATATATATATATATATATATATATATATATATATATATATATATATATATATATATATATATATATACATATATTAGAAAAGTACGACAGCTTGCTGAAATCAACACTAGAAAAAGCCCTCAATCTTTTCCTCAGCGACTTACAGTGGAAACAGGCTTCCCTTCCTGTCAGACTCGGGGGCCTTGGCGTGCGCACAGCAACACAAATTGCTGTACCAGCGTTCCTGTCCTCTTCAGTGGGGTCTGACAACTTGGTGAAGGAAATCCTACCTGAGCACCTAGTTCAACAGACAGGGGTACATGATCCCAGCTTCACAGACTGCACAACCAAATGGGTCTCTCTCGCAGGACCAGCACCCTAACCACCGCCTTCTGAAGCCCATAAGCAATCCAGCTGGGATCGCCCCATTGCCGACCAAGAAGCTGCGACTTTGCTAGAAGCTGCGACAACACCACATGACACTGCCCGACTTAGAGCTGCAGCAGCTCCCCATGCAGGTGATTTCCTATTAGCAACCCCAATGTCAGCTGCTGGCACCCGTCTCACACCGCAGGCCCTCCGAATTGCCGTGGCTCTCCGCCTCGCTGCCCCAATCCACACCGAATACAGGTGTATTTGCGGCGAGGCAGAGGCCGACAGATACGGACAGCATGGCCTTCTCTGCCAAAGGACAGGAGGATGGCATGCAAGACACGGCGAGGTCAATGACATTATTAAG